CTACTACTATTACTACTACTATTCTGCTTCTACTGATAAAAATGTTTTTTTTATTTCATATCCCATTGGGTGTTAGTGGCTCTTCACGTTTTTCTTTTCTTTCATATCTGTACATTGCCATTGTTTCTTAGGAAAGATAGTGGAGTAGACTCTAGGTACCTTGCCCACGATTTTTAATTCAGAGTAGTACTTCTACTTCGACTCCCAAATAAGGCTATAGAAGCCAGTCTACCCTGCTATTTAATCAAGAGCTGGATGAAAAGGTGACGGATTATAGTGATAAATTTATTTCTATAGCATGAAACTTATAAAAAAGACAAAGCTAATTAGTAAAAAAAAAATTAAGCATATTTTAAGCAAAACCTTTAAGCTTCGCGTCTCAGATATATTTGAAGTCAACTTAAGTGAAGTGGAAAGATTCTATTGAATGCTAGGTCTGCTGATAGGAAAGTTGGTGTACTTTGTCGTTGCTAGACAATTTTACTCGCCATTTATTCGTCCATGCATTGGATATTACTGCCACATATGATCCGGTGCTTCTGCTATTTATTTAGAGATTCTTGAAAAAATCCAAAGAATCTGTCAAGTTATCTGGCATCTCGGCTTCATTCAATTTTCCGCTACCGTAACGTAGCTTCCCTGTACCTTTTCTATAAATAATTATTCTGATGAGCTTTCCTCTTTGGTATCTAGATTTTATGAATTGAAGCACAATACTAGAATGGCGGAAAGGTTTTATGCTAACAGTCTCTTCTCTTGTATTTCTCAATTATAGAACTCTTTTCCGGCTTCTAGCTTCCTAAACAACTTTGATCTTCAAATATTTAAATGCAATGCCAATCGTTATCTTCTCTCTTCTTAATTTCTTTTCTTTTATTGCTTTCTCTCTCTCTCTCCCCTTAATAATGTATTCTTTTTCTCATATTCTCTCACACTTGTGTCTTAGTGGCTTCATTACTTTGTTTTGAGTGAAATGAATTTAGACTAGAATTTCAGTTTTCTCATATTTTGAAATAAATGTTTTGCGATAACTCACTGTTTAAATTATTTTTTTTCTTAATTATTTCAACCCAAGCAAGGCAACGGAACCATTACCCCACATTTGGGGGGGGGGTACAGATTTTGAAAGAATATGAGAAAAAGATTAAAGACTGAGAACAATACAAGAACAGGAATGAAGAAGACAAATGATAACGATTGCATTTAAATTTTGCAATATTAAATTTGACTGGAAAGCAAGAATCCGGAAAAGATTTCCAGAAGCGAGAAGTGCGAGAGAAGAAAGTGTTAAACTTACGGTTGCATCTAGCCATTTCTACTGAAAAGCAATGAAGCATGTCTACCTGTAAATAGGAAGTAAAAAAATTTAAATTTTGCCTAAAACGTATCTTTGAAATATTCTGTTAAAACTTACGAAACTTGAAGTTTGTAACTAATATAGCTTTAGGAATATTGAAACTTTACGGAAAATAAGCGAAATGTATGAAGCTTATCGGGTTTTATTTTAAATATGAAGAATGAAATGACCAAGCTTACTTAAAATTAACTGATGTCATAAGTTTAGCGATTTTCCAAGCATAGCTTAGATGTGGCACAAGGTCGAAAGTATAGGGGCACCCAGGATAGGAACTCACTACTCATTCGTAATTGTGCTAGCGAGACAAGCTTGCTAACCATTACAGCGCCTCGAGGTGTCCCTGACGTCATAAGTTTAAGTCATAAATAGTTCCCGTTTTTGCTTATTAAATTTATTCTTAAAAAATAAAGTAAAATTACATTTTATTTTCAATCACATATTCACCATTATTTGCATTGACTTGTTTCCACTTACCGGTAGCTCTTCGATAACATTTGGGCCACATTCTGCAAGTGAATGGTTTTGACATCATTTTAATATCAGGTTGTTATAATTCTCTAAGTTTTCCCTGTTGCGTCGATCAAAAACGTTCGAATGACATGATTATACAAATAGGCCAAGATATACATTACACATTGGGGAAATGAAAATTAAACAATTGTGTATCATTCACCTATATGGTCGGTGAAATGACAGAAAATGTTACATAAATTTGACAACACACAGATACGACGAAAAATGCTTTTCTTCAAAAGATGAGCAGGATATTAAGCGATCGAAAAGTCTATATATATAATACGCCACACACACACACATATATATATAGTTACGTTTTATTTTTTGTGTGTGTAACAATTGAGGGACAGTGTGCAAAATAACGATAACCCACCCGGTGCCGTGTAAACTTGGTCCCGTTGACGCATACTAATGTCGTTATCAAAAACAGTTTGTATATATTACACGCCACATATATCTTCAAGAATGCTCTGTACATTTTTAGAAATTCATTTTAAACTTTAAAAATTATAATTACAAAAAGAGGGGGAACAATTCTTGTAATAATTCATTAGTCGTCGAAAGTGTTTTTTATTCACACTACATCGTTTATCTATATTATTTATGATAGCAATTAAAAGCTTATACAATTAAATAATGGAATAGTTTTAATGCCGTTTTTATGTTACGATTCAGAGCATATCTTGTGGAATTTGGTAATAGCTTGAGAAAAGGAAAAAAATATTAAAATATCTGATGATACGTTTCTCTTTGTAGGACGAGAAATAAGCAGACTCTGAAATTATAGATTGGACTGTCAAGGATTACTCAGACCTTCCAAAGTATACACAAAAAATATTGGGCTTTGGGAACTCTTGCAATAAACATAATTTTGTTTGTAAATATATAATATATATGAGGATAATATACGGATATCTTTACTTAGGTGTTTATAAATTGTACACTTTTTTTGTCTATATTTCTGAGATGAGGTATTATGTACAGTATTTACATTAGTCGGACTATTGTCCTTATCTTTGTCGCCATATTTGTCACAACGTTTCGGCCGTTGTACGCTCCGGCCTTCTTCAGGTGGTTGGAATTTCGAACTGAACCCTTTATTTCGATCACTGGGGTAGACTGTTCTAGTTCCACGTGCCATGTTTTGATGGATGTCAGTTATCAGTTATCTCCTGCTAATTTTCCCTTTGAAAGTTCTCCACTGCCTTAACCAGGTATTGAACTCACCTTCTTTGGGTGGAACTAGAACAGTCTACCCCAGTGAATGTCAGTCTGCTGCTTTATTTATTTTTTGTAGTACATATATTGTAGGATGGTGGTGGAAAGGTTATGGGCTCTTATCACTTGTCTATACCATATCAAATTAGTTTTCTTAACAGCGGTCTTCCAATAGATATTTTTTCTTGTCTGATGGTGCACTGTGTCATTTGTGATGCAGTCTACGTAGTAGGCACCTACAATGATTTTGTAACATCTCATTTCTAATGCTTGCTAGAGTTCTGACAAATTAAAAACAAAATAGAAACTTGTAACAACCATAATACGGTTCTACTGATGAATTTTGAGAATGCTAAATGGAGAGAAAAACAGCTCAGAACAATTAGAAAGAAACAACTGAAAGATTTGGGAAACATAATGAGGAAAGAATGCTTGGAGAATTTAGCACTCACGAGACACATAGAAAACAAGAAAAGAACAATTAAGCAGCAACCAATCTACTTCACAAATGTATGCAAATCGATGACAGAATACGAATTGCAAAGATGAGTAACGAAAGATGATACAAAATAGGAAACTGGGGAGAACCATGATCGAATTAGCACAAAAAGAGAAACAACCAAGCAAGGTTTTGAATTTTGTCTATCATTGCTCCACTAATTTTAATTTACTCTTTTACATCACTTGAGTTATTTTCTGCGTTAATAGAAGTTTTCGTAAACTACCATTAAAAGACGAAATATTGCCACCAAAAATAAATAAATAAATAAATAAATCGCCGCCTCTCTCTGTCTTTTTTACAAATACTTTCATGGTAATTGCTGCATTCGCTGGTTCCCAGACTTCATGAATTCAAGCGCCCTACGAGGCTGATATCCCGCTCTCACTCTTTCACTGTCGAAACTACTAAATGTAGCCGTCTCTTCTACTCCAACAGCTTCATCTCTCGCACCTCTTGCCTGTGGAACTCCCTTCCCTATTCCAGTTTCCCCGAGAGCTATAATCACCAACTATTCAAATGTAATGTCAATCGACATCTCCAGTTGCCTTGATCTATCCACTATCCTTCTCCTCATCCTTTCCTCTATCACTCCTATCTGCTCTTGCTCCAAATCTTCTGTAACCCCCTTGCGTCCTAGTGGCTTCCCGCCTTGCTTGGGGTGAAACGCTTAAAAAAAAATCTACGCTTGGGACTAGGGATATAAATTTCTCATGTCCACTTGGCATTTCTACTTTGGGTAATCTTTAAGCACATGTACGTGTTTTAATACTGTTATTAGAATTAGCCGAATAGAAAATTAATTAACACTAGATGATTATATGCATAAAATTACATAAGAATCAAAACGAGAAACGCAGAAAACGGACCAAACTTAAGTTCCTGGGAATCTCTACTGCAGATATTAGAATTTCCCACATAGAATTTTAGTTGGTACCAAATGATTAAACTCATGAAATTCCTTAAACTCTCTAACGCTTCTATTAGAATTGATATTCGACTGGGTTTAGAATTAATTCCCACATTTGTTTCTTTCGAAATTGATATAAAAACAAATCACTTTGAAGATTTCAATACATCTCCGCAATCAGCAATTATCTGAGAATTAATCCCAACATGGCGAACTTCATCAGCATTCAATATCTGTCTATATCTCTGAGATGAGGCTTTATGATTACTTGCATTATTTACATTATTCGGACTGTTATCCTCATTTTCATTGTCATATTCACAACGCTTCAGCCGTTGTACGCTCCAGCCTTCAAGTGATTGGAATTTCGAACCGAACCCTTGTCATGATACAAGTCCTAATAATTAACCCATAGTTGAGGGGAGAGATAAATTCATACATTTCCCAATGTATTATAACGAACTCAACCAGAATTGGAACTCGGTTCTGTACATCCAGTCTTGCCGCTCCAGGTATTCCCAAGCGTTCACCCTTCTAGGTACCGACCAGGCTCGACGTTGCTTAACTTTGGTGGTTGTATGAAAACTGGTGTTTCAACCTGATATGACCGTAAGACCGCAGCCATTAGATCATATCCACTGAAACTAATTTAGACTAAGAGGGGGAGGTGCTGTCTAGAAAAGGGGATCCCTAGGAACCACAGGCTTCGGTGAGTTAATCTTGTCTGACAGACGACGAACAAAAGAAAAAGTAACGCCAACCAATTAGGTTGTACATCTGAATTCGCTGAATTCAGTCAAGTGCGTCTAGAATTTTCGTAATTAAACAAATTCTGCATCAGTTACTTATTTCAGGACATTTCGAGTGAAACAAACAAATTTTCGGGAATATTAATGCCGAGAAAGCATAGGCCGACGTCAAACGGCCGCTTTATACGTTGACATTCGAAACATTACGCAAAGACAGCAGGGACCCGGCAAGGCAAGCACTTGAGGATAGGACGAGAAAGAGAGCGAGGAAAGCGCTTTGGAAAAGTTTTATGGAAAAACAACTAAGTGTCATTTTTTAGATGCTTCAAGTATGTCGCCCATTAGTAAACTTGCTACGGCTTAATTGTAGCGAATACAAACCACTGTAGAACAAGCAGAGGGGAGTCAAAGTTGACACTACAGGGACCTGATCATTTTCGAGTGTATTCAAGTGTCACGATTAACTGTGACTTTTTTTCTCATCTTGTCACAACATTTGTACAAATTAAATGATAATAATAATACTAACAATGATAAGAGATGATTTTTAATTATGACTTCCTCCATAGGGAGCATTTCCTTCGATGACAGCGTGAGACCTGCTTTTTTCGTTAGCAACAATAAAACACTGTAACAGCTACAGATTTTGTATTTGCAGGTGTGGCTTAGTCGTTAAGAAACGTAATTAGGATTTGAAGGACCAAAGTAACAATATTAGCAATTTTTTTTTTTTTTACACACTGGGATTATTAACTTGTAAAAGTCCCGGGGGTCACTTGAAGTAGAGTGTTACAGAATAAGAGGCGCAGATTATGCGGATATGTGGAAGATAACGATTAACTCAAAACTTAAAATGGTTAACATTGTAGTGGTCGGGGAAGCAACCTCTTGGGAGTCGGCTCCACAAAGTGTGCGAAGAAGCTGCTCCGGTGGAACTTACATCTCACGAGGAGGATATGATGGGAATGAGGGTGGTTTGCAACAATGTGCATGGTATGACAGGTCTTAGTCATGAAATGTAGAACTGGTGTAGTTCATCTGAACATTCTCGATGGAATTAGCGATCGAGCAACGAGAGGTTGAGACGTTTCGTCTGTGAGAAAAGGGTTTTAGGGTGGAAAATGATTCTTCACCCATAAGAACAGGGAGACACTTTTGGCCCTTACCGGGAGTAGAAAGTGACGACAGAATAGCTTTCGCCTATTTGTTTGTCCAAGATAGGGTCTTTCATATAGCAAAAAATAATTTTTTTTAAAATTTAGGTAAAATTAAGTTCGGCCTGCAGAGATTCATATATACTGACAAATTTTCCTTTTCTAAGAGATGCTTGTACCGTTTTGTCCCTTTAAAGATGGAGAAAGAAACGTTCAAATATATTCGCTTTGTTTTGAAAAATGCCGATATTCCATTTAAACTGAGTTCATTCTTATGCATATTTAGGCAGCCAAACTATGAACAGACCAGTTGATCGTCTAATTGTAGTTTAGCATCATTTATTTGATATCGTTTTTATACGATGATTACTGAACGTCTAAGTAATATCACTGACTGCTGGATAATTTCCTCACAGATGAAGACCATCCTGGGTATGACGATAAACTAGATCCGATTGCAAGGCCTCTGATCTAGAGGTTTTGAGGAGCGTGGGACCAGCTTTTAATTGCGGTTGTTTCCATATCCACCTTGACCCGGAGTGGTAGCACCTGTTAGGGTCTCAGCTATGGGATAAATAGTTAGCCCCCGACTGGGGTCAAAACACTATGAAAATATAAATATGGATTTTTGTCGTAGAAATACCAGCAATAAATTTATAAAAAAATACATTTTTGAAAAAAATATTACCACCAATAACTTAAAAAATATACCAGCAATACCTTTGACTCTTAACAAAAGCCCTCTTTATACATCAATGGAGCCTGATCTAAAACTGATTTATTACAAACAATACATATTCTGTCCATACTAAGCTATCCTAAAAATCTTGACGGCATTAAATAACACACTGAGGTTGATATGCCGTAAAATCAAATAAATCAAACCAAACAGATGAAGAGAAGGCAACAGTTATGTGCTACTATCGACGGAAAATGTGTTCAACAAAGAGAATTTCGGGAAAATGGGAGCAGAAAAGACAACAGTACTTACAATCGGAAAAAGGACAGCTGCAATTTGATATACTGGAGGCAAGAAAGGTAGATGGAAGAATTAAGTAACCTTGTGTAAATGGATGGCAGTGCAGGTACTGGGAGAGATAGCAAGGAGAGAAATATTGAGCTACAAAGGATAGGAAGTCGTGGAGAACATTGATTATCTGAAGGAATTCGGTCCCAAGAAGAAGGAAAAGAAAAAGAAGAAAAAGAAAAAGAAGAAAAAGAAATAAAGAAGAAGAAAAGGAAAAAAGAAAAAGTAAAGATAAAGAAGAAAAAAGAAGTGAAGAAGAAAAAGAAGAAAAGAAGAAGAAGAAGAAGAAGAAAAAGAAGAAAAGATGAAGGAGGAAACAAAAAAGAAGAAAAAGAAGAAATCCTGTCATATTGTAAATTGTAGATCATTTAAGGAGAGAAAGGATTTTGAAAATGTTTTGAAGATTTTTTTAGAATTTACGCCCATATGCCGTTGTAACACCGGTTCTCGTACGATCACCAAAGTGAAGCAGCTTCGACCCTGGACAGTATCTACATGGGTGACCGTTTGGGAATACCATGTGTGGGTGGTGTAATGGAATTGTTAATTGGAGAGTCGAGTTCCAATTCTAGTTGTGCTCATTATATTCACTTACACGGAAATACCCTTGGGAAAATCGTTAATCGTTAATTAATTTGTCGCTATAGGTTAATTAGTAAGACTTGTATCACTAAATCATTATTATCTCAAAAAACATCTTACAATCTAAAAATATTTTCTAGCTTTAAAAAAACCTAAAAATGTTTATAAGACATAGAGCATGAATGAATCAAGAATTTAAACAGCATGCGTAAAACAAATGTTTTACGGAATTTTGCTGTTAGTCGAATACGATGACTTCTGTGTCTTCAGTGTTGATTTCCTTGCTCTTGATGACAGATTTTGCAAGCAAAACCCTAACCCTAACCCTTCGTGCATTGGCATAATATGGTGATGCAACTTGTAATATCGGGTAAGTCCTCTAGTTGACATGTACACTGAAATCAGACTTGACATAATATCAATAAATTGTGTTGTCGTTGTGCGCCCAGATTCTTCACATGTGAGATTCTCTTTACTGCTATTTTCATGTCATAAGCAGCTCATTCAATCTCTGCGGAGTTAAGCCTGCCATAATCAAATTCAGTAATGCCAGTCGTCAGCAGCGTCTTGCAAGTAGATTTTTCAGATGCATGATCTTCACAAACTCTGATCTCTACACTTCTCCAGAGTGTCCTGTGTAGCGTTTCTATGGCTTGCACAACATTTCAGCCTTCCTCAGGTGTATATCGATCTGGGTAATCTACAGTGAATTCTGAACTGATTCCTTTATTGAATCTACGGGTGTAGACTGTTTCTGTTGAGTGACACAATGAAATCGGGAATGACTGATCATGTGTGCAGGGAAAGGGGTAGTCATCAGTCTCTGCGGAATGAAATGAAAATACTGGACAAGGAAGAACACTGGAAAGTGAAAGAATCAGGACATATGAAGACCTCCTTAGTAGGACTAGAATAGAAGCAAATGCAATATGGGTGGCGCTAATAAAGAAAGACAAATATCAGCAAAGCATCACGGGCAGCAGCAGCTGCACCAGCCAAAACAGCAGCAATAGAGGTCACACTAATCAGCAGGCAGGTTATGTTTAACACTGAAACTTCTAGTCACACCAAAACCTGCTCTCGCCATCTATTCCCTCTCGCCGTTTGCCTTTGCAAGAATTGGTTGAAAGCGAAAGAAAATCAGAGTAGAAGAAAATGTCGATGGCTGAATTTGTCTAAGGTGGAATTCAACTTGCCGGAAAGTGACCCACATACTTGATTTCATGACCTTCCTCTGCGGCACCGATGGAATGAGACAGAGAGTATTCAGTTATGAAACTGCGACGGACTGCCGCCGACTCTGTTTTAATTTTCAGTGATGTCTTCTGTAGCATGTCTGACACACGTAGCCTTCTTCATCCATTGAATCAACCGTTGAGAATTGGGTCTTCGGGGTGCGTCGCGCATAGTCTAGGTCTTTGTCTTGCACCTTGCCGCAAAGGTGGCTTTACCAAGATTTTAGAACTCCCGACGGCATCGTTCTTAGAACCGTTGTACCGTACGCCCCTCCACTACGACAAGGATCGACAATCAGAGGTATTCATAACATATGTATTTTTTATTTTCTCTTCAGTAATTTTATAGTCTTTAAAATTTGGATTTTAAAATTGGCAGTTTTTAATTTTAATATCAAATTTTATCATATAATTTAATAATTATTAGTTAGAATAAATTCTTTTTTAATACTACCCGTATTTTAAAGATCTCAATAGCTATTATAACATGATTTCGTTGTCAAGCTATATTTGGGTTTTGATTGGTCATTCTAGCTTATGTAACAATGTTTTCCCCTAGCGAAGGATCGTTAATTAATTTGAAACTGTTAAAACCATTTATTTTATATTCAACATCATCACGTGATAAGACACCGAGTGTGTTGAAACAAAATGGCTATTTTTGTAGTGATTTTATAACATATTTATGTTATAAATTTTTTTTATAAAATATATATATATATATATATATATATATATATATATATATGCGTGTGTGTGTGTATGTGTGTGCGAGCGTGTGTGTGTGCAATCAGGCAGCAAATTCTCTTTTAGGCATGTCTGATTGAATTGTAACATGAAAAAATTCCATAAAGGATAATTTTTTGACGTTCTAATGAACGCTCAGTACATTGTCAACCTTTTTCCATTTAAAAGCTTAATGAAAAAGTTACAGTAATGGATAACAACGCATAACTTTGTATAAATACTTATACTAATGAACAACATATAGTTTTGTACTACTTGCACCCCTGAAGATGATCTTGGATAAAGGTCGAAAGTACTTGGGAAATGAAAATAAAAGAAATTTAAACAGCTATAGCACATTTCTCTCATCCTTTAATATCAATACACGGAAGATTATTCATGAGTATGAACGGATTTTATTAAAAATTAGCACACATAATGTCTGTAATTTAGTCAATATATATATATATATACATATATTATGAAATGGACCAAGTTCGACAATTATTTTAAGACATTTTTTTATGTTTATACGTTCTTTTTATCGATACAAATATTTAAGTAAATGCACTGTTTATAATAAACAGAATTAACAACATTTACCAGCCTGAATGTCTGAGAAATTTTCCTAGAAAATATGCGTCCTACGACAGGAATCGAACCTGTATCCTATACGGAACCGTCATATAGCCTAACGTGCTTTACCGATTTAGCCACAGAGGAGCATTTCCGTTAGCAGGATCGATTTTACAGCTTTTAAACTACAATTCTCCATGATTTTCTCTCGTACATTCATTGATGCTTATCCAAATGTAAACAAATGACGTCACACATTATGAATATATATATATATATATATATGTGTGTGTGTGTGTGTGTGTGTGTGTGTGTGTTTGTGTGTGTTTGTGTGTGTATTAAACCCACAAAAATCCCGAAACAGCTCCAAAAGAAGCTTTCTTCTTTCCTATGGGATTTTTCAAGTGTGGTACTTTTGGAGCCGCTTGGGGTTTTTTATGTTATGTTTTAATAGTATATGCTCTGCTACGGGGATTTTTGACCGGCATTATTGAGAACCTTTTGCTGTTTTCATTTTATGCTCCTTTTGATGAAATACTATTTTTTCTTCTATTGAGTACTTTTTGCTACACTTGTAAATAATGTTTTCTTTGTTCTTTTTCCATAAATTTCAGTGACTGTATGTCTATACAATTCTCTTTTCCTTCTTTCTCTTTGTTCCTCCTTGGTGCTAGCGGAGTGACCATGTTTCCATTGTAACAGCAGCAACAAAACTGATGCGATCAAGCTGAAACTTTGATTACGTGACCACACTAGTACCAACTAGTCGTACGCATGAGCAGAAGGTAGTTTGACAAACCTAAAGATATGTTTTAGCGAAAGTTCGGATATTTTTTAACTTAGCTTCGTATATCTCTTTTAATCAGCCCTTTATCTTTCCGCAATGCGTTTGTGGTATGAACAGCAGCAAAAACCGATTAATTAACTGTTGTATCGTAGAGGTAAATGAAGGATGAGTGCTTAAGATATTTATTCAACAACAGTATCCGGTGCTCACAGATACACACAAAAAACACTGAACAATAAGTTCGGTCAGTTATGTGCCATGCGTGATATACACTTAGGCGGTCATGTATCTTTAGATACATGACTGACGAGGCAGATTTTTTTCCCGAAGTACGTTACCATTTCTTTCTGCGGTAGACCAGCTGCCATCCAAGGGTTTAGAACCCGGTCTGCACTGCTATTTACCCATAGAAGGGGGGAGAAGAAGAGGATTTACACCTTTTCCAAGAGTATTAGCACATAAGTGAAAGTAATGGATTCAACTGGAATTCGACCTCGGCTCACCGATTCCTCAATCCGAGCCACTATCCATTACTCCACCGTATAGCCCAGTCGATAGAGCATCAGACATTTAGCGGATACTGAACACTGAACAATAATTACAAAACAATTAACAAGACAACTTACAAGGAATAGAAGATGGTCAATTGCTGTATAGCCAAACGACGTAAAATCAGTCCGAATATTAATCAGCTTCGTATCAATTTATTAATCAACTGCTGAAGTCCTTAATCGTAGACTAAGGCTATGAGCCAGGCCATCTGGTAGAGTGCTGAGGGGTGCTAGCTACTCTACAACATTACCATATACAGTTACCAGCATCAGCAACAAATCATGTTTGAGTGCGATAAATAAAATAAAGAATGCTTTTAGATTCATGTTAGACACTTGGAAATTGTTATATCAAGACATTAAAAGAAATCTATATTTTTTATTAAAACAGGAAATTAAACATGTCGAAGCCATTATCGCTTTTACTGAAACCTATTGGAGTTTCTTACAAAACTATTTGCATTTGGTGTGTGGAAAGTTAACATTATTATTTTTCTCCAAGTTTCATTTGCTACTTATTTTTTGATACTCCTATTGTTTCTATTGATTGATTTCATTTAGCGGAATATCAACCTCTATGGATCATTTCAATAGTTACATATGTTTTGAACGCAATTTGATGGCTTCAAATACAGATATTTTGGATATAATTTTATGCTTTCACTTTAAACATATATGTTTTTAGATGCTAAAAATATATTGTTGGTATTTTTACAATAGGATAGAAAATGCACACTTAGGCGATCAGGTATCTTTCGATACATGACTGGCGCAGCGGACTTTATCCCGCAGGAGTTTTGCATTTCATTCTGCGTAGACCAGTTGCCATCGAAAGCTATAGAAACCGTTCTGTTCTGCTATTTATCCATAGGTGGCAGGGGAGAGACAATGAGGATTCATGTAAGTAAGTGGAATTCGAACTCGGTCCCCTGATTCCTCAATCCGAGCCGCTATCTCCACCGTGCTTACTCTTATTATATACGTGTATATAAGGCAATACCCTTATTAATTTGTTAATTACTCACACACACAGACACACACACACACACACACACACACACATATTC